AGCACCATCATCTTTATTATGGGGACCCCAAAATGGTAAAACTCTCGAATGCCTGTCAACTCATATCATGATTCCTGCCTTCCAGCGTTCTTTTCCTGACCGCCCCAAATACCTCTAAAATGGGTAATATCTACAGACTTTAAGTGTGAAAGTATGGAATACTCATAGCCTTGGATCCCCCGGGCACTATGCAATCTAAAGTCCTGCTGCTCATTTGGTTGCGTTCGCCGCTCTCCCTGCACCCTAAACCCTAGGGTTTAGGGTGCATAAGGTTTAGGACCCTAAATCCCGAAAACCATAAACCTGACTGTCAACCCTGAACGCTAATTCAGCCCCAATGCATGCACTTTGCGCGAATCGGTCCGCTAGTGCTTGGTTAACTCACGGCTTATGGTTGAGGCGTAGGGTTTATAAGCATCAAGAGTTGTCAATATATGAAATGTCTGGGAAAAAAGAAAATGGGATCATGAAATGGAAGCTGGCTTTGTATGAGCTATAGTCTGAACTCCTTGTATCCCCCTTAATGACCCCTAGAATACTCCCCTACATAATCCCATGCATAAACACCCTCTAAAGAGTGTAGACTATAGCTCTTGTAGAGTTTCTGGCAAGACGTCTTGCAACGTAAGCACCAGAATAATCAGCAACCTCATCTTCTCTGCTTGAATGCCCTATGAGAAATCATACAGAAGGAATCGAGATGCCCCCTGCCCTTATCCCTTTAGGGTTTGGGCTTTAGGGTTTAGGGATCCAGGATCATAATCAACAATGTTGATGAATTTTCAGGCTTCTACAATAAGCCTCTATGGGCCCTCAACTCTGAACTCTAAACCCCAATCCTGTATGGGTTTAGCGCTTTGACGAAAGCTGTAAGGACTCCAAGACATGAGAGACATGTTCTCAGGCAGCCGCTTAGCAATCGAAACGCTGCATAGTATAGAGTACCCCTTAAGTAGATAAAAGATGGGGTATATGGGGATCTTATTTTAATATACCCTAAGCCGTATTCTATCTACTTAAGGGGGACTACATTTCGATATCGGAAAAAGAGCGAGCCAAATGAGCTATACTCTAAACTCCTAGTATCCCCCTTAGTTTCACCTATGGTAGTCGAATATACAATCCTTTATAGAGCCTTTTAAAGAGTTTAGAAAATGGCTCGAATGATGTGAGTCCTTACGGCATAGCAGTGCCGTTGCAATTATCCATCTGCGATTCTCTGCTGCGTTATTTTGACGGGATTTGGAACGCCTCAGTTCCCTTTGGCAGTCCCTGCAAACTTCCCTAAACCCACACCCTTAACCCTCAACCCTTACTCCTAAACCCCAACAGTATGCGAAATAATAGCCCTCAACCCATAATGATAGCCTTAAGGGCAAATTTTGGGGTCCAGGTACTCCTAAAACCCAAAACCCTCAAGCTGGTCCGACACTTCTGAGGGCGCAACGCTGCCTGCTCCACTGTGCGTCTCATCCAGAATGGAGGGCAACGACAGGGCCAGCACCGCAAACCTCGATGGGGTTTAGGATTTAGGGTTTAGGATTTAGAGTTTAGGGTTCAGGATTTAGGGTTCAGGATTTAGGGTTTAGGATTTCGGGTTTAGGGTTTGGGGTTCAGGGTTTCGCGTTTGGGGTTTAGTGTTTAGGGTGGCTTGCTTGGCAGTTCATGGAACTTGGACAGCTATTCTGGTTTTCAGAAATGAGCTGTCCTTTTCTGGGTGTCCCCCCAAAAAAGGAGTATAGAACTTGGGGGTTTAAACTCCAGTATTTATGGAAACTACCTTACTGGCCTTGAAACCTGTTGCACCGTCACGGCGAGGTGGTAACGTGGCCCTGCTCCTGCTCCCACAGCTGCAATTCAAAAACCTGTACTGCGCCGGGTTCCAGCTGATTGGGTTTTCTGTTCCGGTTTTTGCCGCTGCAGCCCCAAGTAACACTTAGCGGCCAAGCTGAAGTACCAGTTCTCCCGAAACACCCCTTTCCCATACATTAACGATGTACTGTTCGTAGCACTCCGTGAAATAAAAACCTTGTACATGCAATCCCTGTGAGTATCTAGACAAATCCAGTTTCTATTTGATGTCTCATGTCCTTTTTCATTTCATTTTCCACTTGATGCTCCATTATTGACCATATACACATCCAGTGTCCCCCCCACATCCTGAAACCTAAACCCTACACCCTAAACCCTGAAACCTAAACCTAAACCCTAAAAACTAAACCCTAAACCCTAAACCCTAAACCCTAGGACCTGAACCCTAAACTAGTTAAACCCCTAAACCCCTTTTATATACCTATATAATATAGTAGTTTCCATTTCATTTTCCAGTATCCCAAGATAACCCCTATATATCCCCTATAATGGGTACCATAAACCCTAACCCCTAAACCCTAAACCCTAAACCGGAAACCCTAAACCCTAGGACCTGAACCCTAAAACCCCAAGGTGAATAGCGTCCTTGGACCCTTTCCATGCGCTGCACAGAAAAGGCTAAGCTTGGAATGAAGAAAGGAACCCTACCTTTAAAGGGGATATATATATATATTTATATGTATATACGGGTATGTACGGTTTAGGGTTTAGGGTTTAGGGTTTGGGGTTTGGGGTTTAGGGTTTCGAGTTTAGGGTTTAACCTAAAGCCTGAACTCCTAAGCCCTAAACCCTAATTAACTACCATTTTTTGTTGTTGTTGTCCGTTTGTGGTACACTAGACCACATTGATACAAGGAATCTAGGACCATCGTATTGGTCATCATTCCTATACACCGCCATGTGTGTCCATTTCGCCGTCCATGTTCTTTTCCCTTGGATTTCCGCATATCACTACAATGTTGGTATTTCATTGAATTACCCACCCCCACCCCTCCAACCCTAAACCCTAACCCCAAAACCCTAACCCCTAACCCCTAAACCCCTAAACCCTAACCCCTAAACCCTAAACCCCTAACCCCTAACCCCTAAACCCTGAAAATCCTAAACCGCATTACCCAGACAAGACCAGCTCAGCTGAGGCGCATGAGAATGCCGGTGTTGGTCATCGCAGCAGATCTCACACAAGGGTTTAGGGTTTAGGGTTTTAGGGGTTTAGGGTTTAAGGGGATTAGGGGTTTAGGGTTTAGGGTTTAGGGTTAGGGATATATAGGGTTGAGGGTCTAAACTCCTTAAAGGGGGTTATATGGGGGATTATATATGGAACTACTATAGGGCTTATTTAGGAGGATGCTAGGAGTTTAGACTATAGCTCACATGCGCAAGGCGAAGCGGGACTTGGACTTAGACCGCTAGTTCAGCAGCTCCAACACCCTAAACCCTATATATCCTACATCCCTAAACCCTAAAGCCCTAAAGCCCAAACCCTAAACACTAAGCCCCTAACCCCTAAAACGCTGAAGCCTAAACCTAATGATATCCTGGAGAATTGTACACATGGCCTTTGAAGATCATATGCCATTGGCCTGAATACTCCTTCTCCGCTGAACCCTGGGGCTTCAAGTCTATAAACACTCCATTAGGGTTTAGGATAATGGAAAAATGGAAACTACCATATTATATAGGGTTATATGGGGTTTAGGGTTTAGGGCTTGGGGATAAACATTCCATAGTCTGTGGGATTCTAATAGGAATAATGGAAAAGCAAATGGAAACTATCATTTAGGGTTTGGCCCTCGGTACCTTGGCATCCTTAAAGAGAACGTCTGTTTGAAAGTTTCTGGCGCCTCTGTTGAGCGGGGGGGGTTCAATACACCGAACGGAGTGCCACGTTATCCCCTTGTTAGATGTGTATCCGATGTGTAGCCCCACATCTTATCTGAATGTAGGACACCCCTTTTCAAGCTCCCTGAGTTCCATGACTTACTGGTGCTTAGTACGGAAATCAGGGAATCTACAAGCCATATAATCCGTATATAGTGTTTCCTACTTACCCCCAGTAAGCTAAAGTCCGAAGAGGCAGGCTAAAGGCAGCCAAGATATATGGTAGTTTCCCTAAATAGGGGGACCCTAATATCAACCCAAAAAGACTATATACCTCCTAGAACTCGGTGGGCCCATGGAGCCCTTTGCAACATGCGGTGGGCTTGCTTTTAGCACCAACAGTATTAGGATCTAGGGCTCTTATGAAACCAATGAAGCAAAATCTGTAAATATCCGCAAGACCAGCCCAGTGAAGTTAGTAATTCGCCGAGGCTGTCCAGCCTCAGGGCGTTCAGATCCCTTTAAAACCCCCTCTACTCCCCCTTGCAGACAGGCCTCAGCCTGGCCACCCCCCCCC